TACGCCCCATCTCAGGGATTCGACCCCCTGCTGACCCAAAGGGTCCCCCCCTTTGATACTTTTTCAGAAATCTATTTCTGGCCGACCGACCCTAAAATTTTTCTAAAGGCGCCTTTGGCGCCAATATATACTAACTTTGAGGGGGAGCGCGCGCCAAAAAACGCTATTTTTTTGTCAAAATTTTTCAAAAACGGCTTTTTTGACTGTTTTTTCAAAAACTTGCCTGCGGCGCAGAAAATTTAGTCAAAATAGGGGCAAAACAGTGCTTTGGGAGAGCTCGAAAAATCAATTTGGTCGACCTAAAAAAAAGGTCGTCAAAATTTTGGAAAATTTTTTGAAAATCCGCCCCCCCCCCCCCTCGAGAAAATTCTAGATCCGCCCCTGAACTGCAATAGAGTATTTGTTTAATTACTTTGTTAAACCGGGTCTAAACAGGGTGATAGCACATTGTAATTGTCGTATCAAATTTCCTGTAATTGTTTTTGTCAGAGCAGTTAGAAGTGATCAGGGTTGCAGCAATAAAAAAATTGACGTTAAACGACGGAGAAAACTCAGGGTTTCGTCACATATGATCAGTTTTGTTCGGGTTGTGCATAAATTAACGAAAATCTAGTTTTCTTATCTATTTATCTAAATTTATTTTGCCTGGGACGTTTATATCTAATCAGCCACAAAATAATTCAAGTAAAAATAGGCCTGATTGGGGATTCTAATCAAAATTGTTTTGCGTTCGGTAGCGCTCGGAAAATCAATTTAATCAATTTACTAAAATTTTTGAAAAAATATGAAAACCTCAACAAAAACCTAAATGAAAACCTCAAGAAAAACCTAGATCCGCTCCTGATAAACTGGTTACTTAGTACGACACTATCAGTTGCTATTTTAATCTGAAAGATTTTGATCGTGGTCAGGGGAATGATTTAGGGTTTTCTCGAGTGAAAGACGGATTTTCAGAAAAATTTCTAGAAATTTGTCGAATTTTTCCGAGCTCTCCCAAACAACTAAAAAGAGCCTAGTTTGACTAAAGCTTCTGCACCATAGGCAAAAAATTTTTTTAAAAAAAAGCGTTATTAGTCGTATTTCAGGAAAATTGCGTATTTTTGGCGCGCTCTCCTCCCTTCAAATTTGATAAATTTCGGCCATAAAGGTGCCGTTAGAATAATTTTAGGGTCCGTCCGCAAAAATGGATATCTCAAGATAGTACAAAGGGTAAACCCGTTGGGTGAGCAGGAGGTCAAATCCCTGAGGGAAGGGCGTCATAACCCCCCTCTCCCGCCTCCTCTAAATCCGCTTTTGATTGTGGTTTTCTGTTTGCGGTTTTCTGTTTGCCCATTTTGCACTATTAGGGATGAAATTATACGGAAGTTTTTGTGTGGGATATTTTTGGCCTGAAAAACTGGCCTGAAAAAATAAATGCTAGTCATTACTTTTGTAAATGCTAAATATTTTGCTCTAAAAAATGATTTTTTTTTGTATTTTGAATTGATGCTTGTTTTCTGTGAACCGAGTTTTGTTGTAATCTTAGTGAGCTAGGCAAGGTTTTTCTTGAATATTTGACAAGAAATATTGACTAAAACAAAAACTTGATGCCCTTTTTGAACACTCTCCCGGTACAAACTGAAACAAGGATAGCCAGTTTGAACTTTTGAGCGTATGGGACTCAGTGGTGAATGTCTTACTTGTTTGTTTCCAGCTTCCACTGGCAGAGTAGCAAACAATTTTCCACGGTATTCAAACATAAACTACAATTTTTTGCTCTAAACCTAAATTTTTATAAATGTAGAAAGTTAGCTCTAAACCTAAATCTTTTAGATGAAGAATGTTATTTGATTGCTTTACTCGCTGGAAGTTCGACTGAAACTCAAACCGGTTTTTCTCGACACTGAGATTTTTTTGACTTCCAATGTCGTTCGAATTACAATCGAAATAGTTTTAAAATAATATAGCACTCAACTCATTCCAATGATTATTAAATGTACCTGATTTTGCGCGGGAAAAAAGTTCTTCCCGAATCAAAACTTCTTCCCCATCTTCAATGGTCAGAACAATCATTATTCTGTTTGAAAAAGTTCAGGTTCGATTTAGTCCAACATAATTAATTTTGTGCCTCAAACTCAAATATTGTTGCGAAATTCTGTTTTGCTCATCGAAATCTTGCTGATTATTAAAAAACTTTCATTGCAATTTTTTTTCTCCATTAGGGGGCCATGTGTGATATCATTTTGAAGACCTTTACATTTCGCTTGTAGAAAAATTTATCGGATTTTTTCTGTTTTTCAGACTACTTGGCCCAGATTACTGAATGACAGCATAAAGATTGAATTCTCAATGGAATTCTCGTGCAATTTTTTATGCTTCTTGCACAGTATTTGGCTTGACTTAGTTTTTGTGTAGGTTTATCCGCTCAAGAGATTTTCGTGTTTTGAGTGTGAAGTCTGTTTACAACTACTACACAAACTTTTAATCTGATGTATTCTCATGTAGGACAGAACCATCGATACGCTTTAGAGAACTCCCTAAACTCTCCTTAATGTTAAATCCCTTTCAGCAGTGAACCTTTTTATCTGAATACTATCCACGAAAGCGTCCGAAAAAATTGAAAAAAGTTTTTCTTACAATTTTGCATAGATTTCTGTTGACAAAGTTTTTGCGACTTGCGGATCAGCCCAATATTAAAGCTCCTGAAGAAAACTTTCAATTGAGCCTAAAATAAGCAACCAAATTGTTTTTCTGACCTCCCATAAAAAACTGTTGAGATTCTCAGGTTAGAATAATTTATTATGAACTAAAACACCAAACTACGCACAAAAATATACAAATACTTCAGCGACTGAAACTTCGACATTTACAACCTTGTATTAACTTGGCATTAACTGAGACAAATAAAAAACAACATCAAAAGTCCTTAAAGTATAGGATGATAATTTTTTTTCAACATAATCTTATTTTAACTTTTCAATTAATTGTTCAATATAGTTGAAATAATTTTTTATCATCAGATTAACATTAGAAATTTCATTTCTCAACTACTTATATGAAACTGTTCAAAATAAATAGTATCAATTTTTTATCATGAGAAAAAAAATAACACTATGAAGGAAAAATAATAGTCTCGCTGACTCAAACATATAAAGTATATTCAGTTAGCTAATCAGCAAGCAGTTTTTTGACATAGAATGATAGAACGTCATTAGTAAAATCTTATAGCGCAAAGATACGAACATAATTTTTTAAAATAATCTAGTTCAAGTTTCAACTACAATATTTAAATATATTGCAAAAATTTCAATTTGATTTAAACATATGCACCAAATGGATTGATAGTTTATTAAATTGCAAATCAAAATTCATTTTCCAATAACATTCATGTGTTGTTTCAATTTAAAAAAAAACGCTAAAATTTTTTGTGGTTTCTAAGAACAAAATCAATGAACTAAAACAACAACAAACTTTTTCACATCGAACCGGATAGCACAGACTTCGTCCTAATTCAATAGTTCTCTCTTAGTGACATAGTGGTGAGGGTGATTCGCGCGCGCCGATAAACGTCGGGCGTTTCTATAAACCGTTTGTGTCTCCATACTGGCAAGCTTGCATCTCTTATTTCCCTTTCAAAATGGTCAATTTTCAAAATTAACCGAGCAAAACAATAGGAAAATAATTAAATGGTACAGTATTGCATTAAATTATCCAGAAAAAAAAACAAATAAAATTTGAAAATTGATAATGCGTTTTTCTCAAATTAGGATGACTTAAGACAAAAAAGAAGGCAATTACTTATTTTTGTTTGATGACTGAAAAATTTCCATTTTTGAAATTAAACTATCAACTTTTAATTTGAAAACGTTTATTAAGGTTTTGCGCCTGTTTTTGGTGATTATATCCCTGTTAAATTTTGTTGAACATTATATAAGAGTTTCACTGTCAACAATTTTTAATATAGTTTCGTCAGTTTTTGAACAAATAGTTCCGGTGTAATTTTAGTTTGACTCAGAAGCCAAATCGTTTTTGGGTTAAAACTTTAGGCCCGAAATTTGCAATTGTTTCTGTTTTTTGTCTAAAGTCAAACCAATTTAAGAGCAACGCGTAGTAAGTTTCAAGTCTAATCCTTTTGTCCCGAGTAATTTAAATTTTATACTGTTTATTAATTAGTTGCCGATTTTTTTGCTCGGTTAATTTGGAAAAACTAAGCCCAAAGTAGGTAGAATAAGTGTTGCAAGCTTGCCAGCACGGAGACAGGAACTGCTTTGTTTTGCTCGGATAATTTAAAAAACCACAATTGTGCCAAAGCTGTCAATTTTTTTACTAGGACGATTTCTGTCTGCACTTTTTTACCGAGTGATCGGATGTTTTTAAAAAATAATATTGTAGATATGTTTGAACATTAGAACAGATAAAACACAGCATAAAATCAAACTGCTTCCAAAGGTTTCATGTTTCTCAATTGAGATACATTGCATCATCCATTTAGATTGCATAAAAGTAAGACTGAACATTTGTACCAATCAAAACCAAAGTTTCATAGCATATGGTTTGAATAATTCATTACAAGGGTGGACTAGTTTTTTCTCGATGGGGAAGTTTAAAAAAAATGAAAATTTTGCTGGCCTTTCTTAGGTCAATCAAATTGATTTTTTGATCTATCCCAAAATACTAAAAAGACGCAATTTTGACCCGAGAGGATTTAGGGGGGGGGGCAGGGGGATTCGACCCTTTCTTTTTAGTGCTTTAGGAGAGCTCCGAAAATCAATTTAGTCGACCTGAAAAAAAAGGCCATCAAAGTGCTCGAAAATTTTTTGAAAATCCGAACTCCCCCCCCCCCCCCCCCCCCTCGAGAAAATCCTAGATCCGCCCTTGATTTTGATTGACAGACCGTCTGAGCTGCATACTAATTTTTGAAAACATAACGGGCAAAAACGATTTTTTGGAAAGTTTTTTGAAAAATATTGTCCAAAAAATTGCGCTTCCAAGGAGAGTGACTTTAGAGAAGTTATGCGCCCTTAACTTCTCTTGAGTTATTATTCTTTCAATTATATTTTCAAAAATTTGTTTGCAGCTCAGAAAACTTGTCAAAACTGGGTCTCTACAGTATTTAGAAAAGGGGTGGAGGATTTACCACATTATTCAGGGAATTGACCCCTTTTTGGAGCTATTTTGAGGGAATGGCTCCCCCTGTTGGAACATATGTTTCAAATTCATGTGAGTTTAGAGGTATAAGATTTCAGGATTCATAATTTCCCCGATAGTCTGTGTCATTCGTTCAAAAATCACTGCAATCATCATTTGAATTTTTCCATTTCAAAACGAGCAGCCGTAGGCTCCGTTTCCTTCCCTATCCCCTATGAAATTTTACTTCCAAAAATTTTACTCACATTGTCTTATAGAATAATAGGCTACTTGAATGTTTGATTCCCATAACTTTTCTTATAAAATTAGTCTTTGCAATGGAGCTTGGTTGAAATTTCAGCAGTTTTCTACTTCAAATTTGTGAAGAAACCAGTAGAGTGTCTTTGCGTACTGTCCCATTCCGTCTGGCCTCGCTGTTGTTTCGGGCTAGTCTGTTGGCCAGCTGCAATTTGGTCGAAGCGGTGATCACCTGCGAGTTTCCCGGGACACTCCTCTTCGGTCTCCGAGTGTACATCGCCACCAGATGTTGTCTAAAGTCAGTTGTCAAAATTAATTTGTAGGAGGTGGGGGGGGGGGTCGAGCATTTGTTTAGAAGTCTTAAACAGGAGCTCGACAACGGTTCTCCATTGAGATCTCGTATGAAAAACCCTTCCCGTACTGAGTCGGCAGATGTTTTAAGAAAGATCTCAAGTTAGGTTTTTCATATCTAAGTTTCACATTTGAAATGCATTATGAATGTTAAAACAACCCTTAGATATGCTTTAAAAATGTGTTATTTCAGATTTAATTTCAGATTTGAATTTTTTTTCATTTTTATAAGATTTGAAAAACGCTGCGGCGCCTCTATTGTGTTATTGAAGTTCAGTTTTTATGAATTTCTGCTAGATATTATCAGCTACTCGGAAAGTCTCCTATCGGAGTAAGATGTTTCCCTAAAACTGCGAGAAACTCGAAAATAGCATGAAAACGAAAGTTTGATGGGTTTTTATTAAAAATTTTTGAAAAAAAATTCTGGAATAGGTAGACCACAAATGTAAATAGAAAACAGGTTGTTTAATTATTCGGAAGCTTTGTTTGATCGCTAAATAATCTAAAGGTATTTGAATAAAGTGACGTTGCCATTTAAACTGTTTGCTCGAATTGCATATATTATACTTTGATAGTGGGTAACTTCGGATTTAATTTCCGATCTAAAAATTCTTTTTTCATGCAATTTTTTTCAGATCTGAAAATTTTTTATTTTAGATCTTACTTTCAGATAAAAAATAATAACTGCAAATCTGCAAATCTACTAACAACAGAAATGAGACCTGAAAAACTGCTTAGTGAATAATCAGGAATTTCAGTTCGCGGGGGGACGAAAAAGTGTATACCAACTTTGGATCGATGTAACTCATGCACGACTGATACTCAAAGCCTTAAATTAACTTGAAAATTACCAAAATGGGGAATAAACGCAAAATCAAAACACTATTGAAGCTTTGATTGAAGTTTGTAAAATTTATTGGAAAACGGCACACGTCGGGAAAAAAACAAGGAAAATGATATGTTTGAGGCTAAGATGAATTAAATTATTTAGCTGCGCATGCAATGAAATTCCATGAATAATAATTGATTATAATGGGTTTTCATGGTCTGTCTCCATAAAATTTTAAGCGACTTGATTATAATGGATTAATAATCGATTCTAAGATAAATTAAAAAGAAGTCAACTTAATCCACTATAATCGATAATTAAAGATTATAATGGATAATAATTAATTTTAATATATTATAATGGAATATAATAGATTTTTATGAGTAAGAGCTTGGTTTTTCCAAAACCATGAAATCAAATGTTCAAAACTTGAACGTTGCAGTCGCTAAATTTTGTTTCATTTTTACTGTCACTGTTGTTACTTACATTTACCGGGTGCCGGACATCAAGCCGACGTGACTTCAAGCCAAATAGTAAAACTAGATACTTAAAGCCGAATATTTTCTCATAGAGTCATAAAATATGATTAACCCTTAAAAATTTTTGAAGAATTTTTCAATTTCTTGATCTTTCTTGTAAGTTATTGGCATTTTCATGATGTTTAGAACGATCATGTTAAGAAATATTGAACAATCAAAACAATCAGAACAATTGATCAATCAAAAACCGAGCTGAGTAGTTTTGGTACATATCAAACAGATTTTTTTGGTGCAAATGGAACTTCGCCAAAATTCAAGGCTAATAGGCTTAAATGCGTTAGTCAAAATTGGTCTGAATAAAACAACACGCGTCGTTTCATTTATGTTCCCCGCTATTTGATGAAAAGGAAAACAAAAAATTGTATTTCAAAACTTGATTCATAATACTAAGTAAAACTGGCTAGTAGTATGCCACTAAGACTTTCTTTTCCGTTTCCTGCCCACCTGCGAAAATTTAATAGTTATCTTACTGTGCACATTGTCCAATTGCAACAAAAATTGGCATGCATACAAATTAGGTAATGAAAAACATATTTGGTCTTCATACTTTAGCTCGTAAAACATCTCGTTATATCATAAAATTGATGGTTATGTTAGGTGATGGGCAGGTTGGGGGAGGGGGGCTTAGGTGGAGGGTAGGTTGTCGTAGAGGGGCAGGTGGGGGTAGGGGGCAGTGTAGGTGTAGGGATAAATGTGAACATAAATGTTATCCATGGAACATCACTTCGGGCGGCTCTTTTTCTTCCACTCACCTCAGACAAGCATCAGTTTTATCATAAAACGAGAAGTTTTACGAGGTAAGTGTGGCGACCAAAAATTTTTGTCAAGGCTCAATTAGTCTGCATATCAATTTTGTAACAATCGGACAATGTGAACAGTATGTTATTTAGTAAAGCTTCGCAGGTGGGAGGTAACGGGAAAAAAGCGGCATAATACTAGCCAGCGTTTCTAAGTAATGTCAATCAAGTTTTGTAGTACAATTTTTAGTTTTCCTTTTCATAGATTACCGGGGAGGATAAATAAAACGACGCGTTTTGTTTTATTCAGCCCAATTTTGACTAACCTATTCAAGCCTCGTAGCCTTAAATTTCAGTGAAATCCCATTTGTACCGAGATTCTTTTTTTCCAAAATGAACAACCTGTCCTATTTGTACCAAAATAATTCAACTCGATTTCTGATTGCTCAATTGTGAGCCAACCAATTATTAAATTATTATTCTACTGTTCAAACAGCAGAAAACTAAACGGTAGAATATTAACCACCGCAGTTGCACCAACATTTTGAGAGCTTGCCAACAGAGGGTAGGACATTTTTACGAAAGTTAGAGTCAGTTATTGCCGCGAAGCGACGACGAGCGGGTAGTGCTCCCACCGGTGACCTAAAGCCAAGGTTTTAAATAAGTTGGCTTAGTTGTCTTTGGCTAACTGAAAGTTTTTGTTATTAGCGCAATTTGTTTTTTGTTTGATACAAATGGGACTGATTTTTCATTTTGGTACTTCTGCATGTCCACCAAAATTTTCCAGAACATGTGAATTTTTTTTTATTCTAAGCTCAAATCGAAATTAGTTTTTCACCAGTGATCGTTTTTGTTGTACAACCATTAATTGGTGTCAAAACAATTGCAATTAGACCAAGCTTCGGGGAGTTACCGCGCAATATATTGCGCTCTTATTGTGTTTAATTATAGCGCGCTAAGTGATTTTAAATCTAATTAAGACAAGCAATTTGGGAATTTTATCAATCTTGTCAAAACTGACGTCAAGGATGGTGGTATGCGTCGTGGTTTTGCGTCACATTTTCTACAAGGGTATCCCCTACATCAATTTTTGCATGGAGAGCTGAAATATTTTTTTCCAGCCGAAAGGAACAAAACATGGTACTTTGAACGCGTTCTTCTCAAATTGGATTGATAGTAGACAAAAAATGATGAGAAACAATTTTGCTTGAAGTTTTACTGTTATGGTGTAATTTACTTCGCGAGTTTCGGAACAAAAATGTTACCTTAAAAATGGATCATTTTGGCTTCTTTTAGTCAATCACTAATTACGATAAATTTAATGGATCAATTGATGAACAAATTATATCAAAGTGAGCATCTTAAAAAGCCCAACACATTTTTTACAAGTGTCTAACCTACAAAAACTTTTGCAAAACGTTTAAAATTTATTTTCAAGCACGAAATCGGAAACCTTTTGGGAAACTTTATTCTCTAAGGAAGATTTGTGGAATATAGTTTGTGGAATATAGTTCAAAGTTATAAGCTTGCTCATTATATTTTATTTTGTAGTCTCAACTTTTTGGAAATTATTTTAAAATCAAAAGAGTTCAAAACGAAAACAAAACAGGGGGTAAGGTTCTATTCAAAATTTAGACTTGGTGATCTTCGCAAAGCCGCGCTCACGTCCATTGGTCGACTTAAACCGAGAGTCGTCATAGTATTCTTCAACCAATTGAACAGCAGTTTAGATTCCTTTGTATGCTCGTTGACCCGTATATAAGAGTTCTCTTCTGCACGTAACCGTTAATGTTTCCTCTTCATCCAATTCTCAATTTCTTCAGGCAACTAAATCAGTCGGAGACATTTTGACCATTTTGCAATTAGAAGTTTTAGAAACCATCAAACACAAACGATTTTGGCTGTCAAAGCTGCAAACGCTTGCGTCGCCCCCTCCGCGTCGCTTTTTTGATAAATGTTTCTCCGTCTGAAATTTCTGATCTCGGATCAATTAATATAAAAGATGATTGATGAATATCCCGTTCGGTTTTTAAGAAGCTCCAAACAAATACAAATTAATTTTCATAAAATTAGGCAAACTGACTGAAATTATTGCAGACGGACGACGTTTGTTGCCTCCTGTACCATCCATGATCCTTTTTTGAGCCCCGTGAATAATGAAAACGTTTTATTTTGTTTAAAGAAGTAGAAATTAGGATAAAATTACCATCCTCCTCCTAAATATAGACAGAGATAGGACACCCATCGTTTAATTTGGATTCAATTGCTTAGCGCTGCTTATACAAATTTGATTCTGATGACCGAAATATCCAACTTGGAAGCAGTTAAGACCCTCCACCCTGTAACGCTCTGAACGGAAGATTTTGACAGAGCCTCTGTATGAAAATACGGAAAATTATTGTACATCACTCTTTTGAACTCCAATCGGATTACAGAAGTTTTCGAGGTATTTTTTTTTGTACTGCATTTGTCGATTTTCAGTAATTTTCATCAATGATTCGGCTATCATAAGTCGGATTGTTCAATCGCTTATTCGATCCCCCGCCATGGCAATGATTGTTTATGAAGACGAGCTCTCACTTGATCTCTAGCTTCAAGTCAACTAGAGCCTGACCAATTTCGGCTGCAATAATGGTACCGCGTAAAAAAAATCTGGAGTCCAAAAAAAAGAGTCATTTCATTTTCGTTCAGCGTAAGTCAATTTTAATTTAAAGTGAAATTTGAGAGAACGCTTTTCGTAAGTTAAATGAGATTATACGTGAAATAGATTAAAGCAATTACTATTGAATATCAGTTTGAACTTTAACTGCTTTGAATTGAAGGTGGATAAAAATCAA